TAATTTTTTGAGAAATAAGAACCATCAGCTGTAGAAATTAATCCTAACAAACGGATTAATTAGTGTGAATGAAACTCATTTCATAGGAATGGAATACTTAGGGATTAACGGCTCAAAAATAAACGCATATAATCCGGTTTTGATTGCAAATGCCAAGATATTATTTGCTCCTGACTAGAATATTATTCTATATTATAAGGCATTATATGTTGTTCCCTTCAAATAATACACAAATAATATTACTAAAGAAAAATTAATTTTTAAAAATAGTTATTATATCTTATTCCGCTGTAATACAGGAAATAACTGGCTACCATACAGGAAAAATTATACGATTCCCTCTTATTGCAACTATATTAAACATTTTATTCTTTATTAGTTTTACTTCAATACCAAGTGAATTGAAAAATGTAACTTTCCACAGACTTAATTAAATGAATCCAAAATTTAACACGGTGTTAATTCTAATTCGACTGTCATTGTCCAATTTAGTAAAAGTAAAAAGCTCAATTTATAAATGACTTTTTGATGGAAATTAGAACCCTCAGTTATAGAAATGACCAGATTAATCTGAACAAGCGAATTAATTAGCATTGAAAACAAAATACATCAATGCTGGACTTTGCTTTTAATCTGTTAAAACAACAAACTCGGGAACTGAAGCTATTACGTAATATCGCGTATAAGACGAGTATAGTTTGTTTTGAGGTAGAATAAGAGAAGAATAAGTCAAGTATAGTTTGATATAGTCTGTTTTTATTTAATATAAGTTGTTTTTCAACGCATATAGTAGGTTTGATTCCGACTTTTAGGCGTATAAGTGGAAAATAGTTCAGTAAAGATATACACTCTGCAATGATATATGCAACTTATTTTAGTTTATATGGGCGTATCGGAGAGTATATCAGGACTTATATTAAAGTGTTCCGTTTTTAGGAATATGGGAGAAACTATTCTCGCCCATATTTTAGGTGAAATTCAAACTATATGGGGGTTATTCTAAAAAATAGTTTGCTATAGTACAAACTATATTTGGCTTTTTTCACAGTGAATTGACTAACGCTACTTAGACTTGGGTGCTTAATGTTTCAATTAGGATCTAATATAATTGAAGTTGTTTTGACAATACTTGACTAAGTTTCGCTTGTGTGAGGTAAGGGTGCTCGAGAGGGCTAATAACGCGATTTGCGCTGTGCTGAGATTAGCGCACTACTGAACGCTCTCAAAGCTGAAGTAGTTCAATGACTTACAAAGAGAGACCCAATTGGAAATCTTGACACGATTGGCCCGTACACTTGTATTGTTTCAATTCAGATACAAATCACACTAAGAGGTGTAAACTATGTCCAAGAGGTGTGAAGTTGTTAACACTTTCACGTATGAGTGCTCTGAGAATATATTTTACATGCTCCTTCAGATTCTCACGATAGTTTCGCATCTTTACAATGAACGACCAAATTGCAGACTTTTTATATTTCAAATCGCTAATTAATGTATACATACTTAGATATATTTCCAAAACTTTTGCGTAAAGAAACAACAAAAGTTATAATTTATTATGGTTTCAATATTGTGCCCTGTGATTTCCCGATTAGTTGAAAATTAGCATAAAGCGTGAAGGTGGCTCACAATAAGGAGTTACTGGGTTCTGCCAACCACGGTGCGTTCTACTCGGCAGTTTGATATATTAATTTCATTGTTATACAATTCACCTACTTTAAAAGTCGCCTTTCGTCTGTTTACTCGCGCAGCCTTCTGTGAATTTGATTTCGATAGTATTATTTTGGGTTAGTTGTTTTGATCGGGTATAATTAAGAACTTGAATCGTTTTCAATAAGAGGATAATAATAACTCATTCAGACAATGTTCAATAATTCAAATATTTCTTCAAGTCAGTATCTTTTGGTTCTCATTCATTTCTTCTCTGATGAATTCAGAAGTTCTCGATTCACATGCGTCTAAATCTTCAGACACAAATGAAAAATGTTTTCATAGACAAAATAGCATGAATTGTTTGAAATGAGGAATAAATATTGGTCTTGGTGGTGTAAAAGCTTGCTTCTGACTTGCCACACACAGAGCAACATAATAAACATAGAGACGCCAATGACTAATGTCACGACATGAAGAAAGAATTCGTAAAGCCAATCATATTTCTGTTGTTATTATTGTCATTTAACCTCACACAAAGATTTTATGGAAATACTTTTAGTTTTGATGACTAGCTTTAAGATAAACTAGTGTCTATCACGAGATTCTGCTGACCACAGTGCGAACTACTGTTTCATAGGTCAATATTGTATACAATATAAGTTCCAATATTTTTGCAACTGTTTGTTCTTTTGACAATCATCGATGTGTTTCGGATAAGACCTCATCCATGTTTTGAATGTTCATTTAAACACTTATTTGAAAATTATCATTATATTTTGTTTTTGTTTTTATTTTGGTCCATCGTCGATGATCTTAATAGGCCACTGCTTTATGCATATCGGAATGATTTTGAATTGATAAACTCAATCAAAGAAATTTGTAATAAATGAAATAAAAGTGCATTATTTTTAGGCATTTTATTATTTTTGTTTGCAAAAGGCGAACTTTTGTAAAAAGTATGACTTTTCATCTACGATAGAATTTTACTGATAGTCTATGTTTCAGCCATTTTCGCACTTTTGCAAACAATTGAACTATTCGCACACAAATATATTATTCACTTATTTGAACTCATAAAATACATTTTGGTCTAGTCTTATTTAACAACAATTCATGTCGATTTCATTGTGTGTGGCGTGTTTATAACTATATTTTCCATTGTTGCTATTTGTGCTTCCTCGTCATGAAAAAATCCAAAATTACCCATAAGCGTTTACCATATGCATGTTGTATCTCCTACGAGGCAATATATAGCTAGTCTTGTCTTGAAAACTTTTATCGATGTGATCATCATATTTTATCTTATTATCGATCACATGGCGCGTAAGTTTATGAAAACTAGCCTTATGTGTGTTAATATGATCATTTTTGTTTCTTACTGTTGTAAATCTTATTTATCCCAAATGCTTTAGTTATTTGTGATGATGCACGCAATAATATTCGTTCGAAGGACTTTTTTAATATAATTAGAATATACATCTAAGTTGTTTTTGAAATACAGGTAACATTTTTGAATTTGAATTTAACTTGAACTGTTTTGTTTTTTCAATCTAAATCAATTTTTTTATATATTGAGTTAATTAAATATTATAGTTTTATATTTATTAAGCAGATTGACGTTTTTTATTCACAGGCGCATTCATTTACGCTTTGTTCGAAAAAGTCAAATAGCTGTGACGTTAATCATGAAACATGCGCTGATTTTTAAGGGAGGTCTCTTTATCAATCGAAATGGCGAATCTCTAGGAGTCTTTATTTAAATCTTTAATTACTTTCTGATATCTGATCAGATATCTCAAATTAGTTCAGATATTTCTGAAATCGTGAGGGACACATTGGCATTCCATTGGCTTCCAACATTCCCACACTCAAACATTTGGTGCCACTTTAATATAAATACACGTAGTTCTAAAAGTATACAAGTGAAATTGCGTAATTCATTCGGTTCATTGATCACAAGAACGCACAAGAGGCAAAGTTTGAAGAACACAGAATCACGGTCTAGTCAAAGTAAACCATTACAATTAACAATACCAAAATCGCAACCAGCTCTATATTCAAAAACTTATGAATAATTCATAAAGCGCATCTGTGTAACATTCGTTAAATAACTTACCGCGGATCGTATGTTTTCAAAAACAAAAACGACTCGATACACTTCTTAACAAATTATTTTCTTTGGTAACTTAATGCAGGAATCAATCTTGTGAATAAATAGAAAAATGACAAGTAACAACCACAAAAACCAACATAAACACCGGCTAAGTGATATTGTATGTTCCCATTTGTTAGGTTTCAACCTGATCTATGGAAAATATCATCTCTTGACTTTAAGAATTCCAAAAATAAATTTGAAAAATATTTATTAATGCCAATAAGAATTTGGTTTTTAGCAACGTTTTAAAAGGAGGTAATCTCTTAGCTTTAGTAATAATGTTTTGTGTAAGTGTAAAAATAGAAGCGTATTTAAAAATACTGATAGAAACGGTCATATCGAGAAATAGATTAAAATCCAGTTTATTAATTACGCTCAGCACAATAAGGTTAAAAGTAAAACACACAATAGTAAAATATAAAGCCTATTTATGATCTTATATACCAAAATATTTTATCCTATTAATATATAATCTTCGTCGTTCGAGTTTGGGAACTAGCAGTTTGTTCGTATATTAATGTCTATGTTTTATATTTCTTCATGATGTAATACTACCAATGGGTGCCTTGGTTGTGTCTAGGTGTTCAGATCGCTCGCATTCTTTCTGTCTGCATAATCATCCATTTTAGTAGGCTATAAATCCGTTTGATCTAATCAATTTAGACTTTAATGTGCCAGGTCTTGATTTTATTGAATTTCAATTAATATTTTAAAAACATAAGCAATTTCAGAAATGTAAAAAACATTGAACCAAGTTAAGGAATTTAAAGCTTCGTTTCATTTGACTGATTTATATTTATTTATCACGTGCCCAGTGATCATCTTCGATTTCTAAGGTTCCAAGGAACGTTGAAACAATCAAATTTTCATTTCGTTAGACCCATATCATAATACTATTCTTATGTTATACAGTATAGACTATATCTACTCAAGAATATTTATGACACACATTTTGATGACGCTGTATATTGTACGAATAATCATGAAAAACATTAAAATGAAAACGAGTTCAGTGTTTCGTATTGAAGGCCCGCTACATCGCAAATAATATATATGCAAAACTAAACAAGATGTACCTTTGGTCATAAATACAAGCAAATTACTATAAATAAAACCTTTATAACTTTTATGCTAAATAAATTATTTATATAATTTTGATATATCAATTTCATTTATTTACATATATTTTCAGCAGACAAAACTGCTACTCCAGCAGAAGCTGACCATAGTAAATCTCCGGCGACAGAAAGCAACAATGAGTGCCACCTATTGCGGCAAAGAACAAAACGCAAACCAAGAGTACTATTTTCTCAGGCGCAGGTATACGAACTTGAGCGACGCTTCAAACAGCAGAGATATTTATCCGCCCCCGAGAGGGAACAATTAGCAAATATGCTGAAACTAACATCTGTTCAAGTCAAAATATGGTTCCAAAATAGGTAAGCTATTTGACAAAGTGCAAATGTCACGTTTTAACGGGAAATACTGGAAACAACAACTTATGTTAGGCATTGCTTCATGAATTTGGTTTCAATTATATTCCTTGTTTTTCATGGTATTTGCCCAAGTGTGTGCAATCATGCAAAAAACGTTAGCCTGCGCATGTCATTTCTGTCTTTCATTTGTTGCCCTTTATATTTTTTCCTTTTGCTAGTATTGTACGTCAAGGACTCTTCATAATCGGATTTATAATATAACGAATAAATATGTCCTTTCAGAAGATACAAATGTAAGAGACAACGACAGGACAAGACATTGGAACTAACCGCAATGCAACCACCAAGACGTGTGGCGGTGCCTGTGTTAGTAAGAGACGGTAAACCCTGTATGGGGCAATCTCCAGGCACTGGTGCAGGGGGTTACTGCACTCCATCATCAGCACCCTATAACGTCAACCCATTCGCCTACCCTAGCCAAGCGTATAGCACTATGAACACTAGTATACCTCCAATGCAGAATATGCAACAGACGAACTATGTCACACAAGGACAAATGCCTCAAATGCACCAAGGCATACGGGCCTGGTGACTAGACGGGGAGTAGGGGGACCTTAGTATCCCTGTACTCCGAAAGTAGACAAACTCTTCATGAGAAGGCTACATCAAACGCAAGATTGATCAAACTCTGGAAATAAATTATGCTGCCAAATTTATATTTTAATAGGCACTTGACCAATGTGATATGGAGTATCTCTATTTGAATCATCAAAACAAATATTATTTAAAAGCAATAAAAGGAGAGATTGTAGATTGGCCGATGCCAGATGATTTGTAAGTAGTTCTAGACTATGCAACATCCACGCATGATATCGCTGCTCAACGACATGCCATACATGAAATATTGCACGTGATTTTCAACACACTTTCACTTGATTCAATTGGTGAACCATTGCCATTATCATTGTGCGAACAAGCGTTTTGCTTGATTTAATTGGTGCAACATTGCCATTATCATTGTGCGAGTGTTTTACTTGATTCAATTGGTCACCATTGTCATTATCATTGTGCGAACAAGCGTTTCAATTGATTTCATTTGTGCGCCATTATTATTGCACGAACAAGTAGTTCACTTGATTTCATTAGTGTGCCATTATTATTGTGCTAACAAGCGTTTCGATTGATTTCATTCGTGCGCCATTATTATTTTGCGAACAAGCGTTTCACTTGATTCAATTGGTGCACCATTGCCATTATCATTGTGCGAACAAGTGTTTTACTTGATTCAATTGGTGCACCATTGCCATTATAATTGTGCGAACAAGTGTTTCACCTGATTTCATTTGTGCGCCATTGCCATGATTATTGTGCGAACAAGTGTTTTACTTGGTTTCATTTGTGTACCATTTCCATTATTAGTGTGCGAACAAGCGTTTCACTTGATTTCATTTTGCGCCATTGCCTTTATTATTGTACGAACAAGCGTTTCAATCGATTTTATTTGTGCGCCATTGCTATTATTATTCCGCGAACAATACAATAATACACATTATTATTTTGCAAGCAAGTGTTTCACTTGATTCCATTGGTGCGCCATTGCCATTATTATTCTGCGAACAAGTGTTTTAAGCTTACTTGATTTCATTTGTGAACCATTGCCATTATCATTGTGCGAAGAAGCGTTTCACTTGAGTTCATTTGTGCGCCACTGCCATTATCATTGTACGAACAAGTGTTTCACCTGATTTCATTTGTGCGCCATTGCCATTATCATTGTGCGAACAAGTGTTTCACCTGATTTCATTTGTGCGCCATTGCCATTATCATTGTACGAACAAGTGTTTCACCTGATTTCATTTGTGCGCCATTGCCATTATCATTGTGCGAACAAGTGTTTCACCTGATTTCATTTGTGCGCCATTGCCATTATCATTGTGCGAACAAGTGTTTCTCTTGATTTCATTTGTGCGCCATTGCCGTTATCATTGTACGAACAAGTGTTTCACTTGATTCCATTGGTGCGCCATTGCCATTATTATTGTGCGAACAGGTGTTTTACTTGATTTCATTACCATTGCCATTATTATTGGGTGAACAAGCGTTTCACTTGATTCCATTGGTGCGCCATGATTAGTGTGCGAACAAGCGTTAGCGTTTCACTTGATTCCATCGGTGCGCCATTTTCATTATTATTGTGCGAACATGTGTTCATGCGATGTACAGTTACTCTATGCTGATTTTAATTTTTAAGAACTCATTTCTTTCATTAATCCACCCTGGCGTTAATGTTACTTTAACACTCCTTACAATAATATTTGATGCATTTGACTTGAAAATTTTCTCTGTAAACATCACACTTAGTGCACCCCTATAGCAACAGATATCACAACTTCATAGCTTAAAATTAAATTGTACTCTCAACTTTTGCATAATATTCACTAAATTATTATGTCCAAACCATTGTAAATTGACGAAACTTGATTGGCTGCATGTGTATCATTTCGAATAGTTTTTAATCAAATGATCGTATTAAGCGATGTAAATATGTATATTTGTACATAATATAAACAGAGATGCCTCTACAGTATTATATCATTGTATTATAAATAGCGATTGTGACCAAACTATGATAATATGCAATAAATTATTTTTATTTAGAGAATTCTCAAAGTTTTGTAATTCTTTCCTTACTAAAGGATAAAAACATGTGTAATGTGCAAGTGTTGAACTACCATCATCCGGTGTAAATACAATAGGTAAGTATTAATTTCCCCCAAAGTGTCTGGCATACATGTGTTTACCCACACAGGCCCAGGTTTAACAGTAGACTCTATATTTTTCTACTTTAGACTCTACTATGAAAGAAATGCGTTTATAATTTATGTGTCTTCATATTTAAATCAAATGGTATTAAGACATTGATTCTAAATATTTATCTTTTTAAAATTGATTTGATCCCCGTCCTGTATGAGAAATCAATATTCAGCTTCACAATTTTATTCCTAATAAATTTTATTTTATTTATTTCAAAACACATTCAAGTTGCTTTCACAACAGTGCAACCCAAATGTGACTAGTTTCATTTTTGAAAGACTTTCTCCTAGGTAAAGAATTACATAAATTTGTTTGCATTTTGGAGATTTATATATTCATTTACTTATTTATATTTTATCAAAAATGTCTATATTATCAAAATATCAGTGTACCATTGAAACACGTTGACGTCATGTTCAACATGTGCTGCTTGTCTTTATTAGTGACGCTATTCGTTCTCGCCAAGGAAAGTCGAGAAAGGAAATACAACAACATATTGTTGCTGACTTGTTTTATTAGTACCCTGTGGTATCGAAAATGGAAGGTGCAGACTGAGGGCGAAAACTGATCACCATGTTTAGGTTATTGGTGCGACGCCGACATGTTAAACACGGCTACAGCACAAACTGTTGTGATTGTTTTCTTGTTCTTTGCCAGTGTCAGGTGACTAGAAAAGAGCTGCATCCCAATCAAAGAAAGACTATAGCACTGAACCGGAGATTATTGCTCAATAAAGATAACAAATACAATTTAGTACTCCTCCGTAAGCCATGTGTCCGGATCCACAATCTTTATTTAGCCCAAGGAACGTTTATTTAAGGGGATAGACTAACGGGGTTTAGTTGAAATGTTTGGGAACAGAATCAGACTTTTTAAATACAAAGACAAATTAAGCCAGTGGCTTTGTGTTTTTTAAAAGCCCAGAAATGCATTAAGAGGTCAGAGGAGGCATAAATATCTCGGCCTGGTTAGTGTTGGAGGTTTATTCTTAGAGAGAGTTTTGCCTGTGGACCACACAGGCGATCGGTGGTAATGGAATAGATTAGATGATAAGAAGATGTTTAATTCGTGCTGCCAGTTTCCATGGAGACCTCCATGAACCGCTCCAATCCCATCCACCCCATAATATTCCTACTGCATTTCAGTCAACGCCTAATTAATTTATCTCCCCTTGAAATACACGCGTATCTGCCGTACCGTTTAATTTCCTTACGCAACAGTCCCGCGGTTAAGTATTGGATCCCGGGGTGAATGTTTTGCCTACAATTGATTAGTGGACTGACTGGATGAAGGCAGCTAGTCTATACGATATGATAACTGTAACTCTAGACGTAAATCGCTGATCATCTGCTGCTACATAAAGGTGTGAGAAACAGAACATTCTTCCGTTGTTTGTTGTCTTCTTATGATCACACTTTAATTACATGTTTATATTAGGTATACCAAACCTCTTAAACAATTTGGATGTGTTTTGAAATGTCGCCATTTGTGCCAACTCATCACGGAGATCTACATTACGCATGACAGGCGACAAATGTAAGATCAAATAGGACAATTCTTTATTTAACTCATTTTACTTGACAAGTGACAATAAGTAGGTCAAGAAATACCAACTATTTTGATTTGTAGATGAGTGGCAAGTATGCCCTATTTGCTGTCCTATCAAACAGCAATTAACAGATAAAGGATAGTCTAATCGTACCACAGGCGTCCTTAATTACATTCCGATGGACACTGCCACTATATCGAGATTTAATAGTAAATAAATCCGTATGGTCTTGAATAGAATTTAACGGGGATTCTACTACACAACGTCATACTACTTCTGGAAAACATATTTTAAAAACGCTCGAATGAGAAAAACATCAGAATAAATGTACAACAAATTTTACACTTATAAGTAGTTTAAATGGGTCCATATGAACCATAAAATAGGAACAAATCCTAATAATTGATAACTTATTGCTGTTTTAAGAAATGCGATTCCAAGCGGGAATTGTAACATTCACACGGTTTACTGTACCATAAGGCGGCCACCCTGACATGAGGCATTTCGATTTCATAGAGTAATATATTGTATGTCTGTATCTAAACATTGTCATACTGCCACCCCTGATTAGATTGAACAAGTTAATTAGGGTTTGATAGCTTCCTGCTGAGAGAACAGGGCCCACTTACAAACAGTATGCCAGAAACAAGAGGAGTCGATTGCTAAACTGTCGTAGCCTACATTAGAAATGTAAGGACACTCGTCGCTCTAAGTCTAATTAATACGCAACTGCAAGTACACTCTAATTCTTGTAACACATGAAATAGAATTGTCTAAAAATATGAAAAAACACATTAATGCTGTTTATACGTATGGGACCGTCAAACATTTTCGAATCAACATTCGCGCCATGTGGGCTTCACAATTGACATGGACGCAATTCGCAGGTCTGTTATGCTTCAAGGTTCGCGCCTGCCTACAAACACTGTCACGTACAATCACACACTCCATAAAACACTACCAAAAAGCTTTTTCTGTGACTTTGACATCGTGTTTTTTACATTCTCTGATCTTATAAACAATGCAATTTGAAGAAGTGAGTTCACAAATCGTCAATAAAGTCAATATCTATATGGAGGTTACCATAGGATATGAGCCAGCGGTCGGTGCGGGGATTATATCCTCCGTATCCCCTGGATGAAGACTCCTGGCGGAATGATACTCGGAAAGTAGGTCCGCTATTGAGGGTCGTACCCGAGGTTGTGGCACCCGTGGCATCAAAGATACTCGTTGTCACTCGACGGAACTCTGGCAATGACCCACGATCTGCCCTGTCGCCGTTGAAGATCATAACTGAGGTCAATGGAGTCGTGTAGCGTTCGTCCCCGAGGAGATTGTTCTTGTAACTTGCAAAGCTTATGAAAAATATAAGCAAAACATAAAATGCTATTGGTGACATGCATTGCCTTTTTTGATAGTCATATTTCATATGACAGACACACGTATATGGGCCGGGAAATTAAATAGATTACGGGAAAGGAATGACAACAAATGGATATTGGACAAACTCCTAAAGAATTTATAAATCTATTCTAATGATATGGGGGATATTTTAATTTACATTAATGATCATTTCGTGCCTGTTTCTTCTGTTTTCTTAAATATAAAGATTATTGAGTAGTTGTTCAAAATTTGACACGCAAAGTTCCCAAATAGTATTAATAGATTATTGATACCATCTACTAAAGTTTGCGCGTTCGTTATAAAAAATGTCCCACGCCTTGCGCAAGCTGGTTCAAAATTTTAGAGGAAGTTTGAAGAATTAATGAAATCTGATAAAACTTTACCAGTTAAGATTACAATGCTCTTTGTAAATACAATACAAGGGGCGATATCATAAACAAATAAATAATAAATAAAAATGAAATAAAAATAATATTTTTTTGATAGCGCGGGTGGTATAGCAGAAGTCCACACACATCATTTTACCTTATATTATGTCCACTTCTATCAAGATTGATTCTATCCCCCTCAGTGATGTAATTTATATAAACATCAGTAATTCTGAAGTAACTTCCACTTGACTCTCTTGCTCGGGACAAATCTACGACCATTGCTCCCTCTGTACCAACAACCTGGATGTACAAAAGCATTACTCATAAAACAGTTTATACATTATTCGATTAAATAGATGGCGATATTGTTCTGAGCTCATTTCATTCTTTCGTCTGCCGACTGTTTTGAACCTCCTGTCAGAAAGCACGTCCAAGGTCTCGAAGATTACCTTCATTTTCTGAATCGATAATATTCCTAAATTAATAACAAAGGCACAGGGTGAACAATATCGCACCCTTAATTCAAATCTCAAAAACGGCTGAATTCGGGAAGATTAAAGAGTGTGAATTTACCTCTCCAACGGCCGAAGGTGTGTCTACGTCTGTAATCGTGAAACAGGTACCCTCGTCCACTCCAATACCGTACATGGTTCCTCGACTTAGTTGTCGTGTGTCCCATATCAACCGTGTCAGACGACCCTCTCGACCACGCTCACTAAAACACAAATCATAAAGTAGAATAAACTCCTAGATATATTAGAATAGATGATATTTTCAATTGGACTTTAGTTGCCACGGTCTATCCCCGGGTCTATCCATGATGCGTGATTATGCTTCTTTAGCTATTAAACACACTTGTTTGCTATTTGAAGTTGTTTGGTCAGCCATCAATATCTGAAAATAGGATAAAACTGCAAAATTCTACCATCAGTAAGGTGTCGGATTTTACAAAGGGTGGTCATTGGTCAACCATCAATGCAGTCATTAATCCTAAAAACCAGTGGTAGTCATTCAACAACCAATGGAGGGTCTAGAGAAATACTCTAAGGAGCATCTTGATTCTCAAAGTCATATTCACAAACCATGTGAGTATCCAGGCAACGACCTCGTACTAAGATAGATGTCACCTGTTATGCCCTATTATATGCACTTTGTATTATTATGTTATTGAGGAGCTAAAAATTGAAATTGAATAGATGAGTCCAGAACAAAGTCACATATCTATGGTGGGAGTCCAGGACATACCTACCTATAGTGAGAATCTAGGATATAGCCATCAATGAAACCAATCCCGCCATTTGTATCATAACAAAGAGCGTCACTGCCACAAGTGGTGGAAGCACCATATCGCAAGGCCTCCCAGCTCATGCCACCTACGACACATATGTGTTGAATGACATGGTTAGCCATGCTTGACCATGTCTAATTCTTTTTTCGATTTGGATATTTCAATGTTCTATCATAATTACGTAGGTTCAATTTCATGCTTACGCACCTGCGCCATTGAAAATTGGAAAAACCAATCTGAAATCTAAGTGCAACTGACATGGTTCTATTCGTCTATATTATGATTCTAATAATTCAGTTTTGATTATTAAGCCCTCTATAAAGTACCTTGAACGAAAGGCTGATACAAATATACATAAGGAATTCAACCGTTTTGGGAAACCGTGTATTGTGGGATCGAGTCTCTAGGAACCACCCAGAATGGGAACCATCCGGGTATCGTTCAATCCAATAACTCATCAAAATGATGACGTAAGTATCAACTGACCCATAATCATTGGATTCCTACTCATACAGGCAAGACCCGCGCTAGAGCCAGATGCCATAGCTCCTGCTTCGTACGTCTCACGAATTGCTCGAAGCGTCTCAGACTCATCACGTCCATTGTTGTAAAAGCTGAAAGGGTTGAAAGGTTTAACGCATACATCCGTTTGATCACGTGTAGCATTTTATCATTTTGCAATAAATGATTTTATCAACTTGTTAGTCTATTTTGATATCTTGATATTATTTGATTTTAATAATTGAGACTACTTACGAATTGATGATTCTTGCTTGATCTCCTCCGCTAAAGAAGAATCCTGTTTGTTGGCGAATCTCGGCGGCAATGGCTGCGTCATTGTTCAGATCTGCCGTGAGCTCGTGAATTGGCACCCAATAGACGGATTGGGCACCGAGGTTGGTAAAGAGATCAATGTAATAGTTTGCACTGTCTTCGGGGTCTCCAGACGCTGCAGTTATAATACCCATTCGAGCACTGGTCCCACCCTGCAAAGAGAGACAATCGTAATACTAATATTAGAAACAATGAGAAAGATGATGGCAGAATTAGGAAACAAAAAACTAGGTCAAATCATGGGCTTTCAACTAGACAGTTCCTAATTTTACAATCATAACCGAAAGTTGAATATATACATACAGCAAGATCCAGTAGGTGACTCCAGGCCACATTGCTTCCGCTTACAGATCCACCGCAAATTGAAAGTGTTTTCGTCTCAATAAGTGGCAACCATATTACAAAAAGACCAAAGAGAAGTCCAATTTTATACACCAATTTCGACAACATAATGTAGGCATAGGCTGTTATCTTTGTTTGTGAGAACCGATGCTTGTTTTTAGTTATTTAGTTATTTTTTGTTCTTATCAAGTTTTGTAAAAGGTGAAAGTTTAATTCTTATTGGTCTACAATGTTGTTGAATGCATTTAATGTACAAATAGAAAACGCTATGTTTGCTGTCACAATTTTAGGGAATCACTAGCAGAAGGGGGGGGGGGCTCGATGGGGGTATATTAAAATCACAAAAAAGTAGGTCAAATGGGATCCAAAGTAGGTCAAAGTAAGATAGGGGTGAGCTTTTTTCGCGTGTTTTTTACTTTTTTCAGTCAAAACAACATATAATGTTTTTTTTAGCCAGAAAAGGGTACTAAATGCGATATATGAATAGTATCTACCTTTTTAGCACAAAAACCGTGGGTAAATACCTTACCTAGATCCGGAGAGAGATCAAAGCCCGGGACGTTACAAGATGCTGAATATATATAATATATTTTAAAAAATAATATAGGACATACCCCTGGCTATAATATAGTGTAAACATTTTGGATATTGGTTGATTATTAGCTGAGAAAATTTGTTTTTAGTGCATCTCGGCTAGCGAAAACGCAATCTCGCGAGTAGAAAATAAGTGTATTTGAGCCAAAAGTTGCAGCATTGACATATTTTCATTGTTTATTTTACTTCTAATTATAGATCCATGTGTTTCTATACTGGTACACAATCAAAATATTACATAGAATCACATGTTTGGCTCTGTATTTACTGATTTATGAAAAATATTTTAAAATAAATATTCAGTCAAGTTACATCGTGTATTATTAGTGTTTTCCTTTGCATGAAAATAAAAATTCAAACAAAAAAGAGAGGTTTTAACACGTAAGCCTATGGGGAAAAATGTTGCAAAACGTATGCAGGGGCCGGGCCGGGGAGTGTACATGTAAATGCATCATGACCTTCTACACCCCCAAAATGCAATCTGATTTTCGACACCGTTTCGGTGCCAAATGTCGGTGCCGTTTCGGCACCAAATGGACTGACTAGTCCGGTAGCAAATTTTGGTGTCGAAAGGTTTTGGTGCCGGAACGGTGTCGAAACGGTGCCGGAACGGTGCCGAATTTGTTCGATGCCGAAACGGTGTCGAATTATATTGGCTGTGTATGAGCTTGTTTCTATTTAAAGGCAGAAGGATGTAATGTGACAAGTATCCGAGAATGATATACATGTACATGACATGATTAATTTAATCTTTTATAAAGAGTCTAAAAGAACTTTACTACGAGATTAGTCTCTGGGATCCAGGGTAGAACTTTTGTATTGTTTTTCCAATTCTATCTTTCTAAACCGCACGTTTTTCATTAACGCATAGTCGGGTAATTGATTGTATGGAGGGATTTCGAAATAGCGAATAACAATCGCCGGTTTCGTATTCAATAATGAAAATCTCGGGATCACGCGTAGTGTAAATGCTAGATTACTTAATAGTTGTAGGATATAAAAGGGTGTTTCCCCACAGAGGATATCATTTAAAGTATTATATTAACACTCGATGTTTCCGACTGCAGGTTAATGCAAATCTTGCTTTATTGTCAAGCATGTCGCCTGCCAGTGCCTACAAAACAAATCACTTCTGTTTTTTGAACGTGGAGAAAAGTTAACCGGCGATCGAATAATTTAAAAAAGAAAATTGGAAAAAAAACGAATATCAAATTGTACCAGTGTACATAGAGGAACAATAATCACGGTCTTAGATATTCATAAAAAGGACAGTGGTGCGATTATCACTAAAAGGTTCCTGTTGACACACTGATTTCATTCAAGGAGTCTAAGAATATTGCATTATATTGTGCGATCAGAGCTACAGTCACGCTGTATTTGGACTGTTCATAAGAATAAGGAACTGTCGACATACTGCGTTCAGACTGTGCCCATAAAACAATTGTTAAACTGCATATTTGGTTTGTGCACATAAAATCGTCGTCGCATTGCATTCAGAATGTGCCCATGAAACAATCGTCATGCTATATTAAGACTGCCATGTATCTGAACAATTGTTGGAGGACACATTTAGATATATGACATAAAAAGGAATTCCAAATTCTGTCGTTGCATTAACACATGGAAGATTACAGATGAACTAGATGAAAATGTCTTCCCATTCTAGTTGGGCACTTCAAATGAATCCTGGATGTGCATCACTGCGTATATAGAGACTTTTATTATAGAGACTTTTACAATATATCTCAGCAGATCGGAAGAGTCCATGCGTCGAATTACAAAAGGTTTTTAATGCAACATAAACATGCATTATTGTGTCTATATTAACAAAAAGTATCCAAAATGGACGATGATTGAGTCAGTTTTAATTGTCTAGACGTATTAATTCTTTCTATTGGGATATCATCATCATATCTCCATGGTGACTAAAAATGATGAACTTGAATCGTAAAGGTATGATACCTTTAAACTGGTAATAGCTCTTCATTTACAAGAGCATCATAAAAAGCATTTTCCTTATCTCTCGTATTTAAGTATGTAGTATACGTTTGTTCTTTTTAATTTCCTGTCGCAATCATGGATATAACTGTATCTTTTACTGCTACGACGATATTTCAAAGTGAGGGAAATTCCGAGAATCCCGTGGAACGTTTCAATGTGTCTTTCGAAGATATCATAGAAAATGGAGTAGAAATTGAGATGAGGACGTTGAAACCTATGATGCCTTTACTAGGACGCGTGGCCATTGGGATGGAGATGTACTTTAAACCTATTGTAACATTGCTAGGTATAGGTTTGAATGGTTTAGTGGTTTTCCTACTAAGAACTCCTGAACTTAAAGCAATTTCGATATCCTCATATTATATAGCAGTTGGGGTATCAGATATGATTTTCTTGGGTACCTCGTTTGTGATGTGGACCCGCAAAGTTGGATTTAATGCTTTACTGTTCAATGGATTGTGTCAGATATTAATGTACTTGACTTATATGAGTTATTTTATCTCGACGTGGTTGCTGTTGAGTCCCGTCATTCAAAGGGTTGTGATCCTCTGTAACACCGATTTGGAAGTGAAGAAAGCAAGCGTGGTGATTGGGTTCGTCACAAGTCTTGCTATCCTCTTCTATTCTTACATTCTCTGGACGTTTGGGGTCTACGATGCCCATATGGGCTTAGTCTGTGCCCCGAGGGAACAATACAGAGACCTTACAGAGACTTTATTCAAAATAGACACTATCGCTAACGCCTTAATCCCCGTCGTGTTGACTTTATTCTTTTTGGCTGTATTCATTTCCGCAATGATTTGGAGAAAGTACAAGCAGCGCAAATGCGTTAGGAAGACCCCAGTAAGGTTAGAAGATTATGGATTTTCTAACGACAGCGGGACACGTGAATGTATGGAGACGTTGATATTCATATTGCTCGTGACGACAACATCATACATAATGACATTACCGGCAGCCATTGAAAGACTGAAATTCTTTTTCTATGGCCCTGCTGGTCGAAGCACTATCACTATCAATGACATATGGAGAAATGAAATCTTCCTCAATGTACAGTTGACAAGTTTCAGCACAAAACTGGGTGCGTGCATGTATTTCAGGCGGTTTAGACGGGTCTTGTGCAGATATCTCAAAAGGTGCTTCAAAAGAAAGGACGACGATATGGAAACGGGGTCCATAGAAGAACTTGCTCATATGACAATTCCAAACTTGCCCACTCCAACCTAAATTGGTATCTTAAGAATTCGTTCTTATAATTGCTCTGAGTTAATAAGAATATCGTGTTTGATTATTCTGTGAAGTTTTCTGTCATGTAAGCAAATCTTTTAATATTTTTCAGCATTCCAGTTATTTATGTATTGTATATGATGCACGTAGTTACGTCATCGTAGGTTGAGTAGGTGTAACGTATTGTTTATTCATTTCCTTGAACTCTTATGGCTGTCTTTATTGATCATTTATCAATGGTTTATCTCTAGTGAATATCATCTGGCAGTTGACCAGTGATCATGAAGTAGATTTCCTTTTTACATTTCATAAATACAAAAATACTATTTGTATCGTGTGTAGAAATATGTTATTAAAATTATCATAAATGTGAACACATGCTTTATGGACTGTTTTGAAATTACTCAAGGACATTTTGCTTATTTTACTATTTGAACCATAGCCCAGTGCCAACTACTTGTTGCTAGGTTCTTTTCAACTAACATGTTGATTATACAAACCACGAAGACTGAGCTCGCAGAAAAAAACTCGGTGCGGATGAATGAGCGTTAGGTGCGGTAAAAGGTTATTTTTGTAATTGTGACATAATTCTTAGACTAATCCATTTGGTCTTCACATATATTTATAAAGTCTAATATAAAATGACAATTTTAAAATTCATTAGATAGAGAGAAGTTAATGTATACTCCCTCACTATATATTTGTTGCGAACTACAAAACAATACTCATAAATTCAATTCAATTTAATTCAATTACTTAGAATGGCTCTTACTGAAGTTGGTGATCTACGTCACCATTACGTCAGTGAAGCCATTTTCTTTAAAATTTTCCAATATCGCGGTTGTTTGAGCATTTATTTGTGGTCATTTACCATCTTAGTTTTATTAATTTAGATGGCGAAACATTTTGAATCCAGATTCAACTAAGCTTAGCTGAAATCGGAGGTTTATCGAAAACGAAAGAATTTCGGCAACCATCTTGAATGAAGCTAACTGCAGTTAGAGTCATCCAGCTGTAGAACAGTGATTCTTGTAGACCATACTTAAAGCTATACAATTAACCATAGCCTGCATTACAAGTCCCTTAGCACTTAACATTCATAAGCCATTCAAAAATTAAATAAATTATGGCTCTTTTGGGAGTTATCCATTAGGCGAGGAAGGATTCATTTTGCTTCTTAATGATATTTTTCCTCAACAAAACACCTATGCACGTCCTTCAAAAGATTAAAAATACCAACTCCTCTGTTTACGTAAACGGGACCGGATCCGGAACCGGTGTGAAAGAAATTATGGTCCCCAGGGATTATGGACCCCCTTCTTAACGGCTCTTACTGGCCCTGATTGTGTATAAGATAATGAGGGAAAGAGTTGTATTTAGGTCACCATATACATCAATGGAGAGTAGGACCACAATTTGATAGGACCTCCTACACCTGGTTAAAAATGCAACTTATCGTTTCTGAAGTTAGTTTGAGGTATTAGGGCGGTGTAAAAGGGGAGGTGGTCCTATCAAATTTTGGACCTACTCTCTATTGATTTATATGGTGAACTGATTACAATTATTTTCCTTATTGTTCGCAACGTTTAGATTCTAGAGGGGTCCGCGCATTATACCGAAACCCATTATACCGACGTGCATTATACCGAAACCCATTATACCGACGCGCATTATACCGATACCCATTATACCGACGCGTATTGTACAGAAAGGCGTTATACCGAATGCCATAATCACTGTTCCACAACTAGTTACTTTGACGGAACCTCAATGTAACAAATGGATGAACTTCCTGGTTACGAATTTTTTGCTTTCTCGATTTAAACCTACAAATAAGTCAAGTTGTAGATTACAATTTTGCCCAAAGCTAGAAAATATAGCCTAGTTTTAATAAGTTTCTTCGATTTGGAATTTGTTTTGTAAATGAAGCTGCAATTTATATACTAAGCCCCTCGCTTTTGTTACATTGAAGAAAGCCTGTTATATTACCAATGTATGTTACTTTGTCAATGGGGATTTAGCCCGACCATTTTTAGAAAACTTGTAAATCTCTAGAATTTGTATAAAGGTAAATAACAGTGCAAAAACTAAGTTGTTTTGATAGAAAATTACACACAGAATTCAAATACAAGAAAATATTAGTCTTTAGTGGTTAAAAATGCAGATCTCCTAAAATCTCATTAAAATGAGACCTTAACGAGATTTCAAAGCTATATGGAAAAGCCACTATTAGATAGATGCCTTCACTAGGCTATTCTCTGTACTTGTGTCCGTGCCTCATTGTGAGTAGCGAGTGTAAATTCTTTTCGGAAACAAGATTATGTTTTCCCTGTAATATGAATTGGAGATATCTGACAAAATATGGATAGCCTAAAATATAAATTTGAACATGCGGAAATACTTTCCTTAATAGGTCGTTCAGTTTTCTTGTTTTTTGTTCTACACAACACTTGTGTTTAATAGCCACGCGTAATTATTAATAAGCGTAATCAGATTATTTCAAGCGTCGAAATAGCTTATTTTCGTCGACGTATCTACACAAATCTAAATCATTTACCGTTATATTGAGCGATCTAGATGCGTCAGTGATAATTGTTTTCACTCATCGGCTTTAGTGGCCCGCGATACCTTTTATTTCATTCATTTGAGACGCAATTGATATATTGGCAACAAATCAAATGTTCTAAATGATTTCTTCTTCATTTTGGAATGTTTCTCCTACCCGATATTCAAAGATGTGTCTTAAATATTATACTTTACATTGATCACGATTCTTGTACTTTCTGTCTTTACGACTCCCGTTCACACTTGCAAGAGTTGTTGATTACATTGCCTTGATCGTTGGTCGAACTTCGATTCCAACTAAATCAGATTAATCAATTAAGAAATGTAATATCATGTTTATCCAAGCAAATAATTGTAACAACTACATTATTTTTTAGCAGTATTGACACCTAAGCAGGGTAGCCTAGTGGCGTAGACTGAGGCTACTTTGCGGTTGAACGTCGTGTGATACGGAGGTCCCGCGTTCGAGCCCCAGGTACGGAGTTGTTGATCATTGTCACTACGGACACCCGGTCCGAAGGTCCAACCGTTTACCGGCCCTTGGCATGGGTTGGTTCTCTGGCCGCTCTTGCCGGAGACAGATTGTGAGACTGTGGTTGGTTCCTCCACTAACGTGCTTTAGTAAACTCCGGGAGTCATATAGTATGGTAGCGGGCCCCCACCAAGGGCAGTAGTGGAACGACGCGAATCGGTCCCAGTATGGTTGCCTTGCAACTGAAGAGACTCGAGGAAATCATGCCATTCGCAGTGACCCAGAAAAGCCTTCGTTTCTTAATTTGACATTTTAATTCATTTATTTACACACTTTATTCATTTTACTTTCCAGGCAGTTATATATGATTTTTTATTGGTCAAATGAATGAACGAGACATATTGATACTATTAAATACATCTAAACACAACACACATAGACTAACATAACATAGCTGCAATATCAAAATCTAATTGAGAATCAGATGACCTGCTAAGCCTAGTATTGATTTGCCCCTAAATATATATTTAAGAGACGCTGAATATTGGACTTAGTTAATGAGCACCATTTTAAACTGCCAATTAAAACATGTATTCAATGTTTCAAACAATGAAACTGAAATATTGGGCAAAATAATTGATATTTCGTTTGTGGAATGAAAACTGATGATTGAGATAATTATATCAGTGGAAATGATGCCAATTATATGAAAAGAAATGTTTGTGAAATGGTAAGAAAATGAAATAACTTGAGAATTAATGGGATCATTGGGGCACACATTGATAAAAATCACACTTGGATTTGTAAAGATTTAAAGTAAAACAAATGAATGCGTTTCTAACTATCGCCATGACAACATATCTTGCTCTCTCTCCATGACAACAATTTTTGGCCCCATCAGCACAAGATCGAAAATACAGTAATTATCAAGTTCAATAAGAAATGCAAAACTTTGTATTTATAATTAATAGCACAATTATTTATTTCTACCAATGAAACAATACAGTAAAAACAAATGTTTACTTCATCGAATACAGAATTTACCACAGTTAAATATATTTTATGAAGTACAGTGTTTACCATAGTCAAACATAAATAACAGAATTATATTATGACTTTATTCTAGAATGAAATGCAGAAATTGATTAACTGGAATTAAGTTTGTTAAGACGACCCCTCAATCCGAAACGCCTAGCATCAGTTAAAAAATTTCTAGCCGCAACTGAGATGTAAAGATGTTCAAAGATTTAAAATCCCTGAGCTATATCTGAAAATATGTCTTTGCGCGATGAACTTTTAATTGAATATGAATATATAAAATATAAAAAAACAGATTAACATCCAGTCTCATATTAAAAAGTTTAAAGTTGAAATATTGTGGATGAAAATAAAAATGAATTTTTAATTTTCAAGACGTGTCTGTTCAATGAAAAAATCATGAATAATTTGAACCAAGATGTATGATAAAGTAATATATAAATTATCTATTTTATATGCTGATACAGTAGAATTTCTTTTTGCTTTTCAACATAGCACCATATTTGACTTTTCAGGCTCCATTTTTATTATTCTTTGCCTACATAATGTTACTGTGCACTATCATACATGTACATAATCATGTGTCTACATGACGTTTTGATAGAGTATAGAGCTAGATTCAAAGCACCGTTCTTGCGAGTTTCAAATGTAAAATATTGAAAAACGTGCGAGTATGAGGACCGCAACTTTTTATGTCTACACTGACAAAAACTTGAATTCCCGCTGTAAAGATATAGTCCCACGCAGAAGTGCACATAAAACTGAAAGGTTAAGGCAATGTGCTGTCCCACTGGCACGGATTTCGGTACAACTTCGGCCTATGTTGGTTTTCGGCACAATGCGCGTCGGTATAATAGGTTTCGGTATAATGCGCGTCGGTATAATGGGTTTCGGTATAATACGCGTCGGTATAATGAGGTGATCCCTCCTTAGGGGGAGACTTTTCTTCTAAAAATGTCGTGGAAATTCTGCCTACAACTCGTAAAATAAGGAAAAAGAAAGATCGTCACTTAGAGGTTCTAACATTCTGTTACCGTTTCGGTAACTAGTTTGGAGACTGCAATTACCAGTCGCTGGCAGTGATATAGTTGCTTCAAGAGCCATCCTTGGTCCAAGGGTATTTCTCTTCTTGCCATGAATTTAAGCATAAATGAAGTCCTTTGAAGAAGGATGTCAAGAGCGGATGTGTAGTTTTTCTAGGTTCGTTTCACCCAAGCCTTAATCTCTTGACGGAAAATCAAATTGACAGTTAACGACTATTTAAATCCAGACAATGCATCTTGATGAGATAAAAAACAC